AAAAATTTCAAAAAGGTGAGAAAATTATGTATTATACAATAATTTACCACCGTTGTCTGTGGTTATTTCTGCTACGTTTGCCCCATTTGGAAGTTATTTAAACATAAGCAATTACTTGTAATATTTTAGTACGTTTCATTTAATTTGTAGGATTAATAATTCACATTGAATTTTACCCCTTCTAACTGTAGCCAATGTTTTTGGCGATCTTCTGTAATCAAGAGTTTGCTATCTTTGGCACTTATAGACTTCTCCTTTTATGCGTATCCATTCTGAGATGGACCTCAAAGTTTAATTTTGTTATCCCAATTATAGTTCCCGGGTCTAATGCTGCAGATACTCCACTGGTCGCCTGATTGTCCATAACCCAAAGTTAATTTGTGCCCTAGCACCTATGAAACTTGCTTAATCATTTTTAGACTTGAAATAAATATGCTGGCTCCGCAGCCATTTACAATACACGAAGCGCTAAGACCTATGGGTGTAGAGCGGGATCAAGTCTCAAGCTGGGAACACGCATGCCTGATGCAACGCTATGCTACGCTAACCGATGCTACCCGGCGACTTGTCTCTTTGGTAGGGTGTGCACATCTATGCGACGTCAAGCGCACGTACAGGCACACAGCGTGTATCACAAATCAGTATCACAATCGCAACGCTTCTTTTGTTCTTAATGCATTATTTTGAACAAAACGATAAATTGTTAGTTAAATATTATGAGCACTACCAAGTAATAAATTGCTAGTTAAATTTCATTGTTTTAAATAAAGTTATTCCCGTGTTTTGATAAATTTTCTGCCTAACCATAATAATTAAATAATTCTTATAAAAACTCATAAATCTTTGATCACGGTTAATTTAGTTTAAAGTAAAATAAGCATGTTGTAATTAATATAACGACAAAATGACATATACTTAGTTCTAAATAAACGACAAAAAATATGAGTGTCCGGTTCTGACGCCACTCGACGAAAATGGTGTAATTTTATGAACAAAAGAATGTAATAAATTGCTAGTTAAATTTTATGAGCACAGCCATGTAATTAATTGTTTTAAATAAAGTTATTCAGGTGTTTGATAAATTTTCTTCCTAACCATCATAATTAAATAATTCTTATAAAAACTCATGAATTTTTGATCTCGTTTAATTTGGTTTACATAAAAATAAACATGATATAGTTAATATAATGACATATGCATAGTTCTAAATAAACTACAAAAAATATGAGTGTTCGTTTCTAACGCCACTCGACGAAAATGGTGTAATTTTATGAGCCAGATCATGCAATAAATTGTTAATTAAATTTTATGAATAAAACCATATAATAAAATTTAGTTAAATTTTATGAGCAAATCCTTGGAATGAATTGTTAGTTAAATTTTATGAGCAAATCAATGAAATAAATTGTTAGTTAAATTGTATGAGCGAAATCGTGTAATAAATTGTTAGTTAAATTTTATGGGCAAATCTATGAAATAAATTGTTAGTTAAATTGTATGAGCAAATCAATGAAATAAATTGTTAGTTAAATTGTATGAGCAAAATCGTGTAATAAATTGTTAGTTAAATTTTATGAACAAAACCGTGTAATAAATTTTAGTTAAATTTTATGAGCAAATCCTTGAAATAAATTGTAAGTTAAAGTTTATGAGCAAATCAATGAAATAAATTGTTAGTTAAATTGTATGAGCAAATCCGTGTAATAAATTGTTAGTAAATTCATTCTATCAATAAATGGTATTCCGGTGTTTTGATCAATTTTCCAAATCATTAAAATTAATTTTTTTAAATAAAAACTAATGAATTTTTGATCTCGCTTAATTTGGTTAATATTAAAATAAGTATGTTGTAATTAATATAACGACAATAATACATATAGTTTGAAATAAAATATGAATGTCCGGTTCTTTTGTCTTCGACCGTACGCGATGCAACCCGACGAAAATCTGGACAGCGGGGATCGCGTAGCGTAGAGGAGAGTAGCGTTGCGTGGCATCGGGCAGTTCTGCACGGGGGTAATGCAACCTTATGGAAAATCTGAGTTGGATTTGCGTCGGGTAGCGTCGCATAGCGTTGCATCGGGTAAGTGTGTTCCCCGCTTAAGGCATTCTTGGTTCGACTTCTCACCAAGTCGGGCGTAAAGAGTTCGAGTAAACTGCAAGGTTGGGATATCTTATTTTCCCCTGATTTCTTCTCCCCCTTTTTTGTCTGTAGAAACTTACCAAAACGTTCCAAAGGATTTAAATTTATTTTAAATATAAAGGGAAAGTGGCCATTTCCAGAAAAGTGTTGTCTGATTTTATTTGTTAATGTATGCCTGAACTATTTCAGTCACCTTCGAATTAAGGTTTGCAACTTCTTTTTCTTTCTTCGGATTAGTAAATTAAAAAATAAAACAGAACCGATCGAAAGTGTAAAAATGTGCAAAGGGCGGTGAAGAAGAGAGAGACGATTGCTTCCGGAGAAACGTCAACAGCTTTCCTTCCGAGGTGAAGGGATTAAAGCAAAATCTCTCTGAAATTAAATTTTAAAGCCTTTGCACGATAGATTCTCGAAGAAAAACATCCATTAAAAAACAAAGTCAACATGTAGAACACTATTTATCGACATTTCACTGCCAGTGGGGAGAGGAGATACAGGTCATTTGAGAGGTAATTGGAACGACTTATTTTTTTCCCGAGGAACCAATCATTCGTCAAAGGGAAATAACTGAATAAAGGCAAGGGAGAGTAATAAGAAGTCTGAAAACGACAAGGGGATGTTGCCCAAGGGACCCTCCCTTCGACAGAGCGGGGGCGGGATAAAATTGACGAGACCGTTTTTCAAGATGACGGAGACGGAAAGTAAACTGCTTTCAATTTATTTTACAAGACGATTTCTTAATCTAAACCACCCTCTCGTAGCCTCAGAGGTCCGGGAAAACGTCGAGCTTCGTATGTACTTGAGATAACCGACTTAAAGAAGTCGGTGTCAAAATATATAAGGTCGAAAAAAAAACTCATGAGCAAGAAGGAAAACTTCCGTAGATAAATTTTCTCCACTGCGACCTATAGCTTTTGTCCGTCAAATTAACCCTTTTAACTTCAAATTAAACTTTTTTTAAATTTTAAATTCCTCAACTCTAACTTTAATCCTCTAAAAGAAGTTGTACCTCCAGTTGGGGGACGGGCTTTTCTGATTGGTTTCAAGTGGCATTTGACGTTAGGGTGTATTCTTAGCCTCCTTCTCTCCACAATTTTTTCCTGATGATTTGCCTAAATTTTAAATTGGAGAATCACGGTTGGTGGCATGTAAACAAAAACCGATTCAAGTCGCTTTCAATTTTTATCAATCTAAGTAAGTTGAAAACCAAAAGTTGAATCAGAACACACCCTAAGGTGCGGAGGAAACGAGTATTTCAGATTTGCTACACGTGGCATCTAGCCTCGAGACAAGGGTAGAGGTGCATTCTTAGCCACCTTCTATTTTCAATATTTCTTGATGATTTGCCTAACGTTTTAGACTGAAGAATCAGGTTCGGTGGCGTGTGATCAAGTCTGATTCAAATCGCTTTCTACTGAAATTGTACAACCAAAATGTCGAGTCTTTAGTCAACAAAATTATCAAAAATAGTAATATCTATTACTTCAATCGATTATATTTTAAACGATTACATGTTAACAATCTTTAACATCGATTTTTTTTTTTTTTTCTGTTGTGTGATAAGTAGTATGGTAGAAGCTTTCGAGTACTTGGTTTGTCTAATAAACTCTATAATTAAATCTATATTTATCTCTGTGATCCCTTTTCGAACAAAAATAAATATAGAATTGTCGTGACTTTACTTTTGTCTCGATTTTGTGCTGAAGTAGGGTATAAACCAGCCAATTTTTTTTTCTGTATATCCTTTTAAGGAACGTTGTTATTTTGCCAAACATTTTTTTTTATTAGGTTTCTAAGCTTAGCACTTACCTTTGGTTATATTTGCCAAGTGTTTTGTAAAGTGTATGTTTTTTTGTGTGCTTCTTTACCCCCCAGAGCCCAATGGAAAGAAAGTGCACTACAGCCTTGTACGCAAAATTTCCATCGTTTTAAATTCATTTTACACCATCCTATTTGGAAAACTGTCGATATTATTATACAGATTATCCGACCAATACGATTTAAATTATTAACAACAAAGGAAAAAGAGAAAAACGGACAAATACAAGGAACAAATTAACACACCCTTTGCCGTTTTGTCATTGGGAGTTCTTCCGCTTATTGCCCGTTTGCCTCAGGTCGTACCGATTTGCCCTATACCCGACCTGGTCTTAATTAACCTTCCGGATTTTCGGTATTGTAACTGGAAAAATCCCATCCGGATTAGATTGGCTCTGTGCGAAAACAAGCCTATAAGGAAAAGTCCAAGAGGAAAACTTATTAAAATAGTGTCGGATTGATTCTAGTGTTTTATAGTTGTAACGCTGACCCACCTGATCAAACACTGACTAACATAGTGCCTTGTATGCAGTTTCTTGGATGGTGTTTTCATCAGCATAGGTTTTTGCCTTCAAAATAAAGGGTTATTTAATTCAAATTAACCTTTTTTAATTTAAAATTAACCCTTTTTATGAAGCCTTGAAAAAATTTAAGAGACGGAAAGGCATCACAAAAACTATATATTGGAGTTTGCTTTAATAAAATATTATTTGACTTTTAGAAGCGTTTATGAACATTAATTAAAATTAAAAGTTACATGAAATTAATGGATTCTTATATTAACTTGAGAATTGACNGACTTTACTTTTGTCTCGATTTTGTGCTGAAGTAGGGTATAAACCAGCTCAATTTTTTTCTGTATACCCTTTTAAGATACGTTGTTATTGTGCCAAACATTTTTTTTTATATCACGTTTCTAAGCCTAGCACTTACCTTTGGCTATATTTGCCAAGTGTTTTGTAGTGTCCGGTTTTTTTTTGTTCTTTTTTTACCAAAGAATTTTTTTTGAAATGTAGTTCTGGGAGGAACAAAAACTAAATTTTTAAAGTTTTTCTAGTACACTATATTTTCCACAAATAACAAGACATTACAATACAATTGAACCAAACATTCTTAGGCTCACCATAACATACATCTATAGTAATATGACAACCATATTTTATTACTATAAACTTTTTTTTGTTTTTTAGACAGAATGGCAATTATATGTTAATTTTGTCATTATATACAAGGTCGATAATGTACACTGTCTACTGGAGAAAGAGAAATTCCAAACTCTCTTCGGTCAAAATAAAAGAAAAAAAAATGAATCTTGATGATTTCGTTTTAAACATGTATTTTTACCTTGTTTTTAGCCAGTTTCGCAAACAAACAAAAGATAAAATAATATAATAATAATAGATAATAATAATAATAATATAAGAAAACATAGAATAACAACATTTATATTTACAACTCTTATATTTGAATATGGCATCTCAATCACTGTACATGCAACATTTGAACCAATGTGAAATACTGAATACATGTATTATAAATGGACGTTTTAAAACTTAAACGTTACTATAAATAAATACAATTGCATAACTGATTATTTAATATAGGAATAAATCAGTTGGGCGGTCCTAAAGCCGTCGCTCATAGCGTTTTCGAAAAATGAAAAGCCTTTTATAAAAATAAAACATCTTGAGAGCATATTTTGTCTAGATATCCCAGGTTTGTCCATTTGTTTTTGTTTTTGTTTTTGTTTATTTTGTCTTCCTTACTGAACCGTTTTATCCATTTCTTAAGTGTGTAGTTTTGTGAAATAAATAAAAAACCTCTTTCGTCCCCGTTTTTATTCCTCCTCGGATCACCAGACGAGACCCTCGCTCTGGAGCGTTGTCGGCGGCTGCTCTGTGAATCCGCTACTCCCGTTCATACCTGTAACTATCGCCTGTATAAGTTGAGCTATGGCTGAATGAACTTTACAAACGCAAGGTGTCTTATTATTTATTAAAACCTCACAAAGTCAGACTCGTAATTGTTGGATTTATCGTTTTCCTTTTACAATCTTTAAACTAACTCACAAGGGACTTGGGACTTAGTTACTTACAGAACGGACATGGGATCGAGGATTTAAATCTAACTTTTTTTGGTGTTAGTATACTACGTCGAAAAATATTGTACATACATTGTCCAACTGTTCTTGCCAATGGCCCAGTATGCTGTTTTTAAAATATATTTTCTGCTTTGTGGATATGTTTTAAGGTTATTTTAATATCATTCTATTTGTTTTTGATCTATGATAAGAAAATAATATTCAGGATTGAATTCACTAGTAGAAAAAAGGCAAAAAGGAGGGAAAATTCAAAAGGTGTGGTTGAGATGGGAAGTTGGTGTCCGAGTGGATCGAAGTCACGATAGCTCAAGTGATTAGAGCAGCGGCGTATCAAGCCGAAGATCGTGGGTTCGAATCCCGCTCGTGCCACTGACTTTTTTTATCTCAAGTGAAAACCTTAATTAATTGTAATCCAGGATTGAATTGAATGAGATCAAGTACATAAAAAGTTAGAAAAACTGAAATAACCTACGAGTAAGGTAAGTCAGAAAAAAATTGTTTAGACAAAAACTATTCAGAAAGTTATAAGCTGTTGTAAAGTTTCCGGTAGATCAGTCGAGTCGTTTCTAAGTTATCATTTTTGTGATTTTCCAAAAACAAAACGGCGGCTTTTGGAAGGCGAAAATTTGATTTTGAAAATATATTTATGAAAGCAGGCCACAAAAAATTGTACTTGGAAAAACCAATTCGTTTTAGGAACCCTATAAGTACGAATTTTCACAGTAAACAAAAAATAAACATTTCTTTCTCCGATGTCCAGCGTTTTACTTATAATCAATCGTAACTTCAGTGAATTTTATGCAAATTAAACGTTTTTAGAACCGTTCAAAATCTGAATTTGTTCAGTTTTCATACTGTATCAACATTTTCTGTAAAATAAAGATGAAATTAACACAAATAGCCCCTTCATAACTACTCAGATTAATTTTTCCCAATGTCAGCGTCATGAAAACCTTTCAATTAGTTATTCTTTTTATTTAAGATCTTGTTTGACATGAAAAAGTCAATGGCACGAGCGGGATTCGAACCCACGAACTTCGGCTCAATACGCCGCTTCTCTAACCACTTGAGCTATCGTGACTACGATCCACTCGGACACCAACTCTCAATCTCAACCTACAACCTTTCGAATTTTCACTCCTTTTTGCCATTTTTTTAAAACATTACATTAATAGAATAATTAATTGAAAGAAGTAATTTGGTGAATTAGTCCACCAAACATAAGTGGGTTATGGACAACCGTTGAAAAACTGAAATACCCTTATTTCAGTATATATCAACACCTTTTGTATTGTTTGTCATTATAAGTGAGAAAAATAAGGATGAAATCGACAAAAATGCCTCAAACGTTTTGTTTTATACTTCCGGTTCTAATTTATATACCAAACCAAGTTTATGCCAGTACATGTAGTTTATAGGCTTATAGTTGTAAAGTTCCCAGTAGATCAGTAGAGGTGTTTCTAATTTTTACATTTTTGTGATTTTCGAATTTTGGAAAGCGAAAATTTAATTTTGAAAATATATTTATGACAGCAGGCTAAAATATTTATTTATGTATTTTATCCAAATTCAACGTTATGAAAACTGTTGGAAAGCTGGAAAAATTTTGGTTTTGGAAAAACCAATTCAGATTCGTTTTAGGACCCTACAAAAACCATTCATACCAACTTTCATAATAACCAAAAAATTGAGATTGTTTGACCGGAATAAGTTCTTGTTAATTTAGTTCCACGATGTCCAGTGTTTCAATTTAAAAAAAATCGTAACCACTGGTTTTTATGCCAATTAAACATTTTTACCACCGTTCAAAAGGTGAATTATCCTTCATTTATCATAAACTTTTGTATTAATGTGTGGTGATTAGTGACCGTTAATCGATAATTATTCAGAAATCGTGAGATGCGGTCTGGTGTGATGTAGGTTTCAGAAAAACATTTTGTTTATCGTGCCAACGTTTCGATCTTTATTGAGCCCTGAAGATGATCTCAATAAAGATCGAAACGTTGGCACGATAAAGAAAATGTTTTTCTGAAACTACGTCATACCAGACCGCATCTCACGATTTCTGAATAACTTTTGTATTGTTCGTCATTATAAATGAGAAAAATAAAGATGGAATTGATCCAAATATTTCAAACGTTTTGTTTTATTGTTCCGGTTCTAATTCATCTACAGCTTTTGCCACATGAGGTTTATAAGCTACTTAATTGCTGTAAAGTTTCCAGCAGATTAGTCGAGTCGTTTGTAATTTTCCATATTTTTTATGATTTTCGAAAAATAACTACGGCTTGTGTAAGGCGGAAATTTGATTTAAACAAAAACATTTATGAAAGCAGGCCAAAAACAAATTGTTTTTCGAAAAACCAATTCGTTTTAGGGTTTTTGTGATTTTCGGGAAACAAAACGGCGGCTTTTATAAGGCGAAAATTTGATACAAAAAATGTTTTTATGAAAGGAACCCAAAAAAATTGATTTAGGAAATACTAATTCAGATTCTTTGTAAGAACCCTACAAAACTCCCTGACATGCCAATTTTCATAGCAAACGAAAAAATAGACATTGTTTTACTGGATTAAGGTCGAGTTAATTTCCTTCTCCGATGTCCAGTGTTTCCATCAGAAAATGCATAACTTCTCCGAATTTTTTCCAATGTCAACAACAGTTGAAAAGCTGAAATGTCCTGCGTTCAGTATATATATATCAACATCTTTTGTATTGTTCGTCATTGTAAATGAGAAAAATAAAGATGAAATTGATACAAATACCTCTAACGTTTTGTTTTATACTTGGCTTCATAATTATTATAAAGTTTCGAGTAGATTAGTCGAGTCGTTATTAATTTTCCATATTTTTTTATGATTTTCGAAAAATAACGACGGCTTATTTTAGAGGCGAAAATTTGATTTAAACAAAAACATATTTATGAAAGCAGCCCAAAAAATATTTATTTTTGGAAAAACCAATTCAGACTCGTTTTAGAAACTCTACAAAACCTTTCAGTACGAATTTACACAGTAAACAAAAAATAAACATTTCTTTCTCCGATGTCCAGCGTTTTACTTAAAAACAATCGTAACTTCAGTGAATTTTATGCAAATTAAACGTTTTTACAACCGTTCAAAATCTGAATTTGTTCTTCTTTCGTACTGTATCAACATTTTCTGTTATTATAAGCAAGAAAAATAAAGATGAACAACAATACCTCAACACAAATACCTCGAACGCTTAATTTTATACTTCCGGTTCTAATTTATTCACGGAGGCCAAATTTACGACATTGCATGTAGTTTACACCGTTCCAAATTCGTGTAAAGTTTCTAGTAAATCGGTTGAGTTGTTCCATAATTAAGACCATTTTTGTGTTTTTCGAGGAGTAAAATCAGAGAAAATTGTAAAAAAAAAAATTTCTAATTTTCCCAAAAAGTCGTATTCGGGGGGTTCAGTGAGAAAAACTCGAATATCACCGTTGGGTTTTGCTAAAAATAAATTTCTAGAGTGCTCTGCTCGGTCATACATGTACCCTAGTACGTATATCATATTATTATAGCTTTATTCCGTCAAATTAGCCCTTTTCACTTCAAATTAAACTTTTTAATTTTGATTTAACCATTTTGTAAAGCATTATAATAAACTTAGTAAAGTTATTTAATTCAAATTAACCTTTTTTTAATTAAAAATTAACCCTTAAAAGTTTGGAGACGGAAAGGCATCACAAAAACTATATATTGGAGTTTTCTTTAATAAAATATTATTTGGCTTTTAAACGACTTTATGAAAATTAATTAAAAATAGAACTTACATAAAATTAATGGATTCTTTTATTAATTTGAGAATTGAAATTCGAATTAAAATGAAAAGCCTAAAATTAAATTTAAAAAAAATTGTAAAATTTTTTAGACCTAAAATAACTAGATTGACAAAAAACTCGAATTAGTACAAAAATAATTTATTTTTATAACAATTGTTTTANTAGTACGTATATCATATTATTATAGCTTTATTCCGTCAAATTAGCCCTTTTCACTTCAAATTAAACTTTTTAATTTTGATTTAACCATTTTGTAAAGCTTTATGCTTTTTCTCAGTATATTTGGCAGTTTATCACGAAAGAAAGGATACAAAAATATTCACCCAACAGGCACTCACAATATTCCAAAGTGAAAAACAGAAATCTGAGAAGCGGTGTGAAGTTCAATAAAGCACGAATCCAAAATAAAATTTAAAAACAGCCATAAAGGTGTTAGAGTATAAAAAATCATGGTAGAATCGATCTACAGAGATCACAAAGTCTCGGTCCACTTTTGACAAAGGGCAGCTCCGATGTACGGACTTAAAGGGCTGTAAAGTTACGATTTTTTCCGCATTGTTTCACGTAGGTCATTGATTAACAAATTCAAGTTGTCTCATTTAGTTCATCGGTGGTTAATAGCTTTTCCCTCCTTATCTCCCCCGGCCAGAGTTGATATCACGTTAAAAACAATCTTCACCCTGTAAACATCCAATTATTTCAGCTTACCCGAAACCGGGGCGGTTTTCCAAGCTTCGCTGGAATAAAGTCTAAGCCGAATCGTGGTTAACCCGCTTGCTAGAAAATCTAGTTTTTATAATTTCCTTTTTGTCGTGTTGAATTTCTGAAGGGGAGATAAGGAAAACATCAAGGAAAGTGCAATTCTTTCAAGGAAACATTAGTCCCAGTTGGGTGGTCAACCAGATGAAAAGTAAATCGTGCATAAGCAATTCGTTTTAATCTTCAGGCTTTATTAAGAGCTTCTAACGCCCAAACCAAGCGGGATTATACGGTACTTTCCTCTTCCTACGAAATATATTA